TATTCTAATGTTAAAAATTGTATTTAACTGTAATAATTAGTAGGCTAGTTTTGTAGTGATTATTTTTTTAATTTATGTCTAGTTCGCATATTGTTAATTTATATTAGACCAAAGGGACGGCAGCTCAGAAAAGCTATTAGTTTCGAAACGGCATTTGATTTGTTCACATAAATGTCCATTTCACTGCAAAGTGTGCACCAATAGTATCACCCTGTATTATATTAAAGAAATTAAAAATGAGAATCTGCACGAATGCATGTATGTTTCTCTCGCATTGTGAAAAAAAAAAGAATTTAGAACCATAAATTTTGAATAATGTAATCCTCCCCCGAACATGGGCATGGAGGCGAATTCGAAAAGTTTTAATCCATTTTATATTTGTAACTTAACGAAGTTTTGATTAACAAACTCAACGTCAAAGCAAGCAAACCCTGTACAGTAAATAAACATTTTATCTCCAGCGCGGAAATTCTAAAGATATGTCATTTTCAAATTTTTTAATATTGTTCTTGAATTGAATTTTATGTGGTTTACTTGCGAAGAACATGATGTTGATAAATAAAGGTAACATGCAAAAATGTTACAAAACGCTCCTTTGGGCATAATATAAATTTATATTGCTGGTGCTTCCAGAGTTAATTTTTTTTTCCTCATTACACTCAAAAAGATTATGATCCAATGTTATGAATACAAAATAAATAATATCTTGTAATTTAATAATTAATGATCAAAATCAAATAAATGATCATCTTGTTTTTGTTATAATAATTTAAAAACTACTGCCTGAAAATGCTCATAAAACAAAGAAAAGATCAGATCTTGTTTAATTTTACCTTATTTGTTTCAAAGCATGATATGCTAATCAGTATTTAATTTTACTTTATTGTACACAAAAATAAGTTCAATAATTTGCGTTTGAATTTTTACCGTTTTACTAAATAAAGAAATTTATACAAGAATTACGCTTTAAAAAAATGTGCAAAATGCAGTAAAAGTTCTTTTATGAGATATATTAAATCTTGTTTGCAAAACTGTGACTTTCATATCTCATCACTCATACAGCTATCACATTTAATAATTAAAAACAGTATGTGATACAAAAGCCATAGGTTATGTTTAAAGAAGCCAGATCGTCCCAATTTTTCGGACATGTGGGCGACGCACGCTCCGCCCACTGGGTTAGTCTATTTCTTATAAGGTCCATGTATGTATCGTGCTGTTTGGTGTATATTGGCGAAATTGATAAAATATTGGCTGAAATTTCTCGTCAGGGAATATGAATTAAATTTCGAAAGGAAAAAAGAACTTTTTTAGCTAAGTACGGGGGTCACTTAATTACATTTTAATGTGAGATCTTCAAAAAGTATCCATAAAGCTTCTTCATGTAATCAACTGGGTTGTTTTGAATACTTTCACATCATTAATAATTTTTCTTGTGTACTTAATGATATTAATTTTCCCATCTTGCTCTTCCAAATGCTTTCAAATTTTTAATACCTTTACGTTTCATTACTATTTTACACATCATCTACATTCTTTTCCCTTACAAAATCCCCTCCCACTATGAAATTCCTTTCCCGTCAGAAAAATCGAAATGCAATAAAAATTTTGTTTTCTGAATTATTTTGGGAAACATATGGTGGTGAGTTTTTAGAAATATATTTATTTGTAGTAAAAACTATTTTAAAAAAGTGAATTTTTAAGACAAGGTAAAAGTATAAAATATTGTGACCTCTATAATTTGCAGTTTATGCTACCATCTTGAGATAAAAATTCGTAACATTTATTGACCACGCCTCTGCTTAAAATACTTAATAAGTTAAGTTTATAGCCCTAAAACTAGGCATAATGTAATTTAGAAGTAAAAATATTCTTTAAGGTTTTTTTTTTATTCATTTTCAAGAAATTTCGCGCTTTTCAATTTGGCCAAGTTCACCAAACAGCACGATACATATCAAACAATGCCTAAATTAACACAATAATTTAAAACATAAAGAAAGATTCTTAAAGTAAGATCGAAAATGAATTTTACTGATAGTGAAAAAAATGTTAAATGTTGAACTTATGGATGTAGTAATTTTTGTAATATAGTTTAAGTGTCAGTTAAACTTGCCGGCTTAGCCCTGTTGACTAAATGTCTTGACAGGAAGTGTCCCGTAGCTAAATGTCCTGACAGCTAAACTGGTGTCGGCCAAATGTCATGTTGGTTAAGTCCGTTCGCTAAATGTCCTGTCGGCTTAAGGCCTTGTCGGCTAATGTCTGTCGAAATGGCCGTGTCGGCCAAATGTCCTGTCCGCTAACTGTCCGTGTTGGCTAAATGTCCTGTCGGCTAAGTGTCCTTGTCGGCTAAATGTCTTGTCGGCTAATTGTCCGTGTCGGCTAAGTGTCCGTGTTGGCTAAATGTCCGTTTCAGCTAAATGTCTTGTCGGCTAACTGGTGTCGGTTAAGTGTCCTGTCGGCTAAGTGTCACGGACCCGCTAAAATTATCTAGTTATCTATTTCAGTTAATGTTGCAGATTGCGTTGTTCCTGAATCTCCTAATTGGATCCGGCTTATTATTTTTTGCAGACTGTTAGAGCAATTTTATAAAAAGTAAGCTTGAACTTTCGATTATGTCAAAAAGAGTTTTCGATTCTGGAGCTGCCAAAGGATCTACAAAGCGAAAGCATGTTTCGATGTCCATCAAACAAAAAGTGGAATTGCTGCAAAAAATGGATAAAGGCATGAAGAAGTGACAGAGAGGTTAGTGAAAACGAAAAAATTTTGATTGACAAGTTAGTCAGTATTCTCGGCACAGCAATTACAAGATTTGAACAGCGGAACTTTGTAACTGAACAAGAAATTATGTCTGTTTATAGAATTAAAGAGAAAATATTAGCACATAAAACAAAGCAACTTAAACAACTTACATTGAAAGAAATGTTTATTAAAGTAAACAAATAAATATTAAGCTCTTTTTTTTTAAAAAATTTGATACCCTTTAGATCATAATTGTTCTTATTTCATAAATTACGGTTTCATATTTTTAATTTTATAATTTCTGCATGCCATCCTTACCAGATTTAAATTGATGATCTATAAGCTGGAATCGCCGAAGTCCCGACGAGTGTGGATTAAAGACTTTGTACTATATTTCTTGTGAATTGGTTGAATGCCATGATTTTGTTCTTGATTTTTCATTTGCAAGGTGTTGGTTCGTATAATCGTCTAGAAAACGGTTAGTTTCAGTAACAATATGAAGCATAAGCAGCTCATCAAAAAATAATTCAAAAAAGATAAAATGGGTTTGAAACATCCGTTATATCTTTCTTTATTCCTAAAACCTACTACAAAAAGTAAAAAAAAAAAAAAAAAAACCGGAGGACACAGGTTAAAAAAGAATACATTTTACTCAAACAAAACCAGCCAATACCACGCAGTCATTACTTTCACTGCTTTAGACACACCCCTCTCTCCAATTTCTCCCCCCACTTCTCTGAAATAGTATCCTTCTTCGCATACTTTGTCAAGGTCATTGTGGTGTTGCATTCCAAAGCTTTGCGAATCATTTTAGGTGTAGCAGCACAAAGTAAATGATAGTAGTTTGGAAGGGCGTATATATCTACCCAGGGCAGTTAACGCATCGGCCAAGCAAGGCATATATATATATATATATATTTTCGCCCACAGCAGTTAAGAGGTTAAAAAAAATATCATCCCTTTGTATTTTTAAATGTTTATTACACACACAAAACTACACACTAGATCACTGAAACTACGCTACTAATAACTGAAATATGTGCATTAATTAATATAATGTAATTTCGTTTTCACTAACGTTTTCCATGAACCTTCCCTTTTTCTGTCCTCTCTCTATTTCACCCTTCTGGAAAACTAAACTTTTGGTGCCTCTCAGATTGAGAGTTAACACCTATGCATCTCATTAGTTGATGTCACCCATACATCATTTAAACATTAAACAATTTCTGAAGTTTTCGCATGCTGTTTTAGGGAAGGCAGAAAAGAGATTACTCTTTATATCTTTCATAGCTGCAAAAATAGTGCTACAAAAATATGCATCTGTTTCAGTCAAACAACTGAATCGGACTAAATATTATTGTATTGGATAGCTGCATATCAAGACTTGTTTGTGCCTCATAAAGTTGTTTGTAAGTTCTAGGTGCTGAACTAGAGCTCATTTCCCAGAACTGTGGAAGCATACCACATATATGCAGTAGAATTCTGGTAATCTTTATACTTTGGGCCCAAGAGTTGTGTAGATTAAAATATTTTGCAGATTATTTTATGAAATGCATTTGCATGTCTTTTTAATGCACCACAAAAAGTGTAAGTCAGTGACATTTAGTGGTACAGTACAAAGTCTGTAATATGGACATCCATTATCTGAAATCATCTACAATCCGGACCTCAAAGCCACAAACTTTACGCATGCGCGCGTTGAAAGAAATGTTTAATAAAGTAAATAATATAAATATTAAGCTTTTTTTTGTAAAATTTGATACCCTTTAGATACAATAATAATTGCTCTTTATTTCATAAATCACGGTTTCATATTTTTAATTGTATAATTTCTTTATGCCATCTTACCAGATTTAAATTGATGATCTATATAATCCGAAAAAACCCCTAATCCGGAATCGCCGAAGTCCCGATGAGTTCCGATTACGGACTTTGTACTGTATTATGTAGTGCATAGTTATGCTGTATTTCTGTTGCATATCTGCCTGATATGTACTTTCATGCAAAATTTCATTACTATTCATCAGTTACTTGGTATGCAAATTTTTATTGCAATAAGTGTATATCCATATAAAAAAATATTGCTGTTAAATTTTTGCCACTGAATTTTATTTGTTTAAATTGAAAAATGACAGGCATTTGCAAATTATCAAAATTTTACTGTATCATTAACCAAGATATTCCATTAAAAACTATCTTGTATATAATTTATAAAGTTGTATTTTGTAGAGTTCGTTAAATTAAAAAAATAACATTATTAAACTATTATTATATATATTTTCTTAGTTAATCTTCCAAAATGGCTGGATACATGTGCACTTTAGCCAGCAAACGGCTTCTTAAAAGTATGACCAGTCCTATGTTTCTGAAGCATATGGCTGCCTTTCATGGACGATCTCGCATAGGCAATAGAGATGTTGTAGGATTCGGAGTCAATGGAAGTTACACATATGTTGATAGAGCTGACTATCCAATGCCAGCAATTCGTTTTAGAGAAAATACTCCTGAATCTCAGGCATTAAGAGAGAAAGAGAAAGGAGATTGGAAAAAACTAACTTTGGAGGAGAAAAAAGCCTGTAAGTATTTTCAAATTTTAGATTGTAAATTATTCTTATATTTATAAATAACATTTTTGTTAAATAAACAATATACAGTCAAAAGTCGTTAATTCGGACACCCATAATCCGGACCTCAAAACTAAAAACTTTCTGCGCTTGCGCCGCGTTGACACATGCGCATAGGCGTTTTCGCGTGCACGTAAGACCTCTTACGACTGCGCATTTGCGTGTGCGCAAGTGCAGAATACGTTTTCGCGTGCGCGTTTTATGTATTACGAACGGTATAAGCTAAAATTATCTAATTATCTATTTCAGTTAATGTTGATGATTGCATTGTTCCTTAATTTTTGAATTGGATCCGGCTTATTATTTTTTGCAGACTGTAAGAGCAACACTATAAAAGTAAACTTGAACTTTCGATTATGTCAAAAATTTCCGAATCTGGAGCTCCCAAAGGATCGTCAAAACGAAAGTATGTTTCGATGTCCATCAAACAAAAAGTGAATTGCTGCAAAAAATGGATAAAGACATGAAGAATGTGACAGAGAGGTTAGTGAAAACGAAAAAATTTCGATTGACAAGTTAGTCGGTATTCTCGGCACAGCAATTAACGGGGCTTGAACAGCAGAACTTTGTAACTGAACAAAAAATTATGTCTGTTTATAGAATTAAAGAGAAAGTATTATCACATAAAACGAAGCAACTTAAACAATTTACATTGAAAGAAATGTTTAATAAAGTAAACAAATAAATATGAAGCTTTTTTTTTTTTTTTTGTAAATTTTGATACCCTTTAGATCATAATTTTTCTTTATTTCATAAATTACGGTTTCATATTTTTAATTTTAGAATTTCTGCATGCCATCTTACGCGATTTAAACTGATGATCTATAATCCGGAAAAATCGATAATCCGGAATCGCCGAAGTCCCGATGAGTCCGGATTAATGACTTTTGACTGTATTTAATTTTTAACGTATTGAATTTATTAGGGGGAATTTTTTAGGGGTCTATGAATATTTTGATAAATTTCTTTTTAAATATTTTTTATACCATACTTTTTAAATGTTTTTTATACTATTTTGCGCATGTATGTCAAAGTTTCGTATAAATATTTGGAGATACATTTTGGAACCACAAACTTATATGATTATTGTATGGCCAGAATCGGCATGCAAATTGGTTTGAATGTAAGCTACTTTAAATTTGAAGAAGCAGAAACAAAAACTAACAAAAAAAATCTGATGCCTGGATCTTAGGGATACACTTTGGAAACACGAACTTATACGATTATTGTATGGTGTGAATATAAGCTGTACCTTAAAATTTGCAGGAGCAGGAAAGAAAAGAAGATACCAGTAATCATTTGCTGGCAAATTCTGGGAAATATAATGACTGGTAGGTAGGTACATGCCAATATTTTATCACAGTGCAATACATAATTCATTATCACTGTTGAAAAATCTAGGTTATAGTTATGTGCTGTATTTAGATAGCTTTCTGTTAACTACTGGTTACTTGACCAAACATGCAGTTGTTAGGTAACATTACTGGTACCTTATCTTAACAATGTGAGCAGTTTCTGAAATGCTTTCGTTACATTGTTTGTTATTTTAAAACGATAAATCAACCCATATTTAACTGCATATGTCAGTGTTCTCAAATTCAAATTGCATGCAGGCTAAATACACAATCTGAAAATAGCTGACTTGCCAGAATTTCTTTTTTTTTTTTTTCCTTAACAAATTGAAAATTTTTTATTAACAAAATAAAATGTATTTTAAATTTCAGTTACTAAATATTTATCAAGACATATATGAACAATAATAATATCGAAAAGGAGAAAAATTCCAATTTATATTTACTTTCTATCTGAAATTTAATACCTCCAAGACATTTTGGTACTTTTTTGCTATCAGGATTGTATTCAGATCTATGTATACATTTTTTGCATGTATGAATGGATGTGTACATTATATGTACATATGTGTGTGCATACATATACACACATACAGTCAAAAGTCGTTAATCCGGACTTATCGGGACTTCGGCAATTCCGGATTATCGATTTTTCCGTATTATAGATCATCAGTTTAAATCTGGTAAGATGGCATGCAGAAATTATAAAATTAAAAATATGAAACAGTAACTTATGAAATTAAGAGCAATTATGATCTAAAGGGTATCAAAATTTACAAAAAAAAAAAGCTTAATATTTATTTGTTTACTTTATTAAACATTTCTTTCAATGTAAGTTGTTTAGGTTGCTTCATTTTTTATGTGATAATACTTTCTCTTTAATTCTATAAACAGACATAATTTCTTGTTCAGTTACAAAGTTCTGCTGTTCAAGTCCTATAATTGCTGCATCGAGAATACCAACTAATTTGTCAATCGAAATTTTTTCGTTTTCAATAACCTCTGTGTCACTTTCTTCACTAGCGAAAGCGAATTATAATGACGAGGAATTTGATTTAAATCATATCAAAGATGAAGTACATCGAGATGAAATACTACATTTAGTAAGGAATTATAAGCCAAATAAAATAAAAACATCTGCCCTGAAGATAAGGATAGTGCTGACAGATCAACTTCCAATTCATTGCGCGCTGCGGCGTTCCCCCCCCCCCCCCTGCTGCAGAGCAGCATGAAATTGATAAAGAGATTTTGGAATGGTTAGATAAATAAAGGATATGCCTTTATCCATTTTTGCAGCAATTCCACTTTTTGTTTAATGGACTTCGAAACATACTTTCGCTTTGTAGATCCTTTACATATTAGTAAATATATATCAGAAATTCTATTTGACATAATCGAAAGTTCAAGCTTACTTTCATAAAATTGCTCTAACACTCTGCAAAAAATAATAAGCCGGATCCAATTCGAAGTTTAAGGAACAACGCAATCTGCAACATTAACTGAATTAGATAATTTTAGCTTAGCTTATACCGGCCGTTATACATTAAATGCACGCATTCGTAAACGTATTTTGCACATGCGCACATGCTTATTCGCAGCCGTAAAGGTCTTACGCGTATGCGTCAATGCGACGCATGCGCAGAAAGTTTGTAGCTTTGAGGTCCGGATTATGGGTGTCCGAATTAACGACTTATACACATACATACATTGACTGTATACACAAACGTGCATTTCTGAAAAATCAGTCCTGATAACAGAAGAGTACTAACATTTTCTTTGGTTACATTTTGTTATTAAAATGTATTGATAGACAAATATTACATTTTGTAGACTGACATTTGCTTAATAATAGTTTTTAGATGTTTAATCAATCATAAAATAAAATAATTTAAATTAAAGGAATTATGAAATCTTTAATTCAGAGAAATTAATAGAAATTATCTTTATCACAGATTGTAGATGCTCAGCAATATTTTCTAATTTTCAGTTCTGAAAAAAAAAAATGATCATATTTATCAATGTATTCCCAAGTAACATGATTATTCTTAGAGCAAAAATTCATAACTGAGCTTATTTGTTTTTTAATAAGTATAAATAAAATTTAATCTGTATCTTCAAATATTTTAGCAAGATTTATAGAAAACTGTAAATCAACTGGCATAATTTATAGATTTTCTGGTGCATTACTCATGTTCTTTTTTAACAGTAATGTAATTAATGTAAACTTAGACTTCATATAACTGAAATCTTTGCAATTATTATATTGCAAAATATACATAATTGAAATTTATTTGCATGCCACATAAAATTGCTTTGGAAGCCTGCGTGTGACCCACAGGCCTGATATGATGAAATGTAATCATTTTTGTGAGGTCACGAATTTAAGATGCATCTTCAGTTTTCACAATTGAAATTGGGATAAAATGTGTGGTTTATGCGTAATTTGAGCCAGTATGGTACTTATATATACATTGTAAAAAAATAGGTTGCTTTCTAGTTATCTGCACCCCCACCAAAAAGTCGGAAACTCTTTGCTGACTTTGTGGATAAATGTTTCTTAGGGTGTTACACCAATTTCAACAATGCATCCAGTTACATCTTTTTTTTTTTTTAAGTCATTAAAAAAACATCTTTTTACTTCCTTGAGGAAGTATTGTAATCGCAAAAAGTTTCAGGCAGCGTATTTCAACGAAAATATTCATTTTGACCGCTATCGAATGCAATTTAACAATGTTTTTACATGACGTCTGTGCATAAGGAAAGAATAAAAGACTCTTTTCCTCCAAAAAGATTATAAAACTACTTTAAAATGAATTCTGAAGAGAATTTTTCATGATGTCTGTATGTACGTATCTCGCATAACTCAAAGAGTAGCCTCAGAACGTTGAAATTTTGTATAAAGGACTACAATAACATGTAGATGTGCACCTCGTATTTTGGTTGCGATTGTCCGCACCAAACATATATAAATATATTTACCGGGTGGCCATAATTAAACTGACAGTGCTCACAGTGTTCTGTAGTGCAATCTATTTGCGAGAATGATGCCATATTTTGTAGGAAGATTAAAGAAGACGAGGGACAAAGGATTCCGCGAAAAAACAAATTAGTTCCAAAAGTCACCGCTAGGGGAATATGTGGCGCTGTGTAATAGAAAATAGAGTGTTAACAAATGCAAATCAATACGGAAATTACCTTTTATTTTACATTAAAATGCGGTTCAATGTGGCTGCTATTGTTGTGGACCACATATTACACTCTGTGCACAGTATGCACAACAGCAGAAAATAACATGTCTGCAGGAATCTCCCGTACGGTCCGTGATACATTATCCTTCAATGTAGCCAGGTCCTGGACCACTCCTTGATAGACCTTGGACTTAAGGTAACCCCATAGCCAGAAATCACATGGGGTAAGATCAGGCGACTGATTTGGCCATGCAGCTGGAAAGTAGCGGCTAATGACTCTGTTGTGAATTTCTGTTGTAGCATCTGTTGCACCCGTACAGCAACGTGTGGAGGGGCTCCATCTTGCATGAACATGACTTTCCAGGGCATTGTCTTTGCTGAAGTGCGGGAATGACAAAGCTGTTTCCACATG